CAATCTTCGATCGTGCGCGACCATTTTGCGGTTCTCTCGTCTTGTAGAGATTTACGGAATTCTCTGCCCGCGCTCCGTCCGCGGGATCGCCGTAGCGGCTGACTGGTGCTGCGCACAACTAGCAAAAATCGGTACGCCTTAGTAACACACCCTTATCTTTCCACCAGGGGCGCCACGGTGGAATATGTATATCTTACTCCTTGCATGCACCGAACCTTCATTTAATTCGAATAGCTGACACTGGTTGGCATTCTGTAGAAGAAATTCCTTCCCTCAAGCCCAGAAGGGAGGCTCTTGGCATCGTATTCTGTTGTGTATTGAATCGAATTTCGAGTAGTTATGTATGTTTGTACATGTGGTCAGCGTTTGGTAAAGTCTTGTGCCACGTTCAGTTCGAGATATGGCGTCCAGTAGCTGTTACCGCATGAATACATATAGTGCAATGATTTGTAAATAAACTGAATAAACACGTACAATTCAGATCTTAAACTTTGTATATTTAGTTAAATACCTAACATCCGACTTCAGCCAATGAGCTTCAGGCACCAGTTTGCCTTACAATACTTGCGGGAATTTTAAATGTAGCCAGTTACCAATACAATCATCACCTTGTTACAAGTCATATGAAGCTTTTTTTTAAATAGTGGAGCTTTCATTTCAATTACACCCTCATCGCGTTACATTTTTTTGAAAATTGTCACTTTATGTTACTTTCAAAAGCGTTTCTCAACACTTCTTGCTCTCCATGCCACACAGCGGCCTGCGACTGATCAAACTTTTCAAACGAAGTGCCCGATTGTGGCCACGTGGTTAATGACGCAAACTGGTACTGCATAGAACGAGTAAAACTCGGTGCGCCGGAGTAGCCCGCCTATATCTTTCCACCTTGCTCAAGTCGTAGAACCGCATTAAAAAACGTTTCCTCTTCTTGTTGTCGCAGCGCTGTGCCATATGGATCATTATTACGCGAGAGGGGGAAACGTTGAGAATTCTTCCTCAAAGCAATTACGAGTTTTCGTGTCACCTAAATATCGCGCGCAGTTTAAAAACTCGATCAAATCCGCATTTCTCTCTTACATTAAATAAAATATTGTATTTTGTATCTACGTTCAAAAGAAGAAAAATGTGAGGAGGACATTTCTCCTTGCCTTCCTCTGAGAAACAGCGTCTGTATTCTAGCCCTCTTGACATACACATTAATCATTTAATACTCTGTCAACAGTCAGGGCGTGAACAGAGGTGGACAGAGGCTGTCTCTTGGCATCAGACTCCAAATGTGTGGGTGCTCTGTGCGCACGGCATAATCTCGACGAGAAATGTGGAAAATCGAAACAAAGATCTGGAGAAAAAAATCATCGACTCCCACACATTTGAAAGAGTTTTCTCGTTCGACTCAGCAGAGGCGAAAGAGTTCCTCGCTCGAATCGGTCTGCGAGCGAGTTTTCTCAGACACATTTTTGCTCCTTCATTTGTTATATGACATTTGACATTCGCTGCCGCAGAAAAACACAAAACAGTGAATAGAAACGAGTGAGGTTATAATATTTACCAGTAAAAGATGTGATGACCAATTTTTTGAATTTCTTACTGCAATTTTTTTCTTTAAATGGAAATGCACTAGGAAAACTTTGTGTGGAAAATATTATTTCTCGTAAGAAAGCAGTACATAATGAGCAATATAAAAATAAATATTTGAAGCAAGAAACTTGAAGGTATTTTTAAAAAAAATTACAATTTTATTTTTCTTAATTCACATTTATTTACAAATTAATTTAATTGTGTATTTTATTATGAATTATTTGATCATTCACAATTAATCCATAATTCAACCAACAAATATAGTAAAACAGTCGGGGTAGAAATACCGGAGCTCAAGAAAATTTGCATTGAGACAATATGTACTTCTTCCCGATACGTCAAATACAGTTCCCTTTTTTACATTAATGATTTATATGCAATGCTGTCATGTACTTCTCTTTAGGCAATTCGAACTCAAATAGATGATTTACGATTATGGTATGTTATTACTTGGAGTTCACGGATAAAAATTACACAAGAGCATTTAATAAAACAGGAAATGGGACTCGCAGCTGATCTTATACCTAACTGCTGTCACCACTCTCGGTTTGTGGCACATAAAAATAAATTTGGAGTCATCGAATGACATTTCGAATGTGTGGACACAACCTCACCGGCTTCTTTCCTCATTTCTCGCAACGCATCCCTTGGTGTAGTCTGTTGCGGACATCAATCCAAAGTATATTTTGAAGCTGTTGGTACTTCGGACTTTATCCGGCCATTTTGGATCATGTGAACATTAACCGACGTTTTCGGTTAATTTAGCCTAATTCACACTTTATCCGCAACATAGTACATATTAACTACACTGATCGTATTCCAACCTGTCAGGTTTCGTGTGAGAATTGCAACTGGATAAATATATAATGTATAATATCATTATAAGTACAACTTTCTTGGTAAATAATACAATTTATAATCCCACCAAAAACTTTGACCTATTCCAGGGAATGTCTAGAACGCAACTTCCAAGTTACTAGTTTTATGGTTAAGAAGTACTTAATCAAAGGGCAAATGAGATATTCAGAAATGTTATTCAGAATTGCTCTGTTGCGAGTGAAGAAATCAAAGTTTGCAGTGACAGAAGCAGTGCACAACTGGAATTCATCAAATTGAACAATTTTTCTTATGCCGAGTCCGGTATTGAAACAATTTTCTTATAGATAGTTTTTATCTACCACATTTTTTTTTACTTTGAGTAGTATTAGATATTAACTCTCAACAAAGACGAGCATCTTCGCTGAAGTGCAGGATAAAATGATTTTCTTTTACAGGTTGAGCACCAAAACATAGCTTCCGGAACATATGAAGGTCGCATTGCATTACACGTCGGCTATTGGGATGCAGTGGTGGGGAGATGTGATTAGAGGAGTGAAGTTGTAATAATTTCTATCCTTCCTTTCTAGTGCAGAGAAGTGCTGTTGCTAGGCGCTAGCGTATTTATGAACAATACAGGAACGTTGTTGGTGACGTAAACGAAGTTCATGTCCTCTAGACTTTATCGAAGAGTTCATGCCACTACACACCTCCCGGCGTTGACGTAGCCAGTGGGAGTGGTTCCAGTAAGCCATTGTAAAAATATGTCACGGTTATCTATTTTTGGTTACCCCTTGCGTGACAATTTAACTGGTGGTTTGTTATGAGATGCCGGCTTTTTATGAAATACATTATTTTACCTTCATTCCTGTGGTGCATCAAGTGTTAAACCCTACTGTTACTTTTCGATAAGTGTCTGACGAGAATCCGTGTGGTGGGTTCACTCGAACCAAATGGTAATGAAGATGGCAACTGTGAGGTTAAGTTGTCAGGATAGAAAGGATTTAGAGAAATTTACTAAATTTCTTGCCCTGAAGGCTGCTCAAATTATTGTTCAGTCTCGGTTAGGAGAAAAAGTTCAATCTAAATGTAAACCTCATTTATCAGGAACAGATTGGGTATGTACCAAGTTTGTGATCTGATTTGAAAAGGTGTCTTATGGAAATGTATTTTAGCTTATATGTGCTTCGAATTTAATGAAATTTTGTGATTAGCAGTTCAATCTGGCAATTCAAGATCTTCCTGAAGTACATGCAGAAGCGAAGAAAGCGTTATGTGGTGATTTAGTCAATGCACATCTTCCTATGTGTGTTGAAATATCATTAAGAACTGTTGAAGGCGATACTATGATGTTGGAAACATGGAGTCTTGGTGTACTTCCCGATCAGTGTGATCCTTCGGTGCGAGTCACATATACAGTTTACAATCGGATGTGTGTTTTGTTGAAATCTTTGCTGTCTGTAACAAGAGTTACACCAGCTTACAAGTTGTCCCGTCGTCAAGGACCTGACTCTTATGTCATTTGCTATCGCATTTACATGGGAGAGCCACAGTTACATAATCTCGGTAAGTACTTTCAAGAATTTTTTATATTATTGAATTGAATAGGAATATTTGTTGCAAATTGCATATAGTTGTTAGACTGAACATCCATAATTGAGGTTTATATAACATTTGTAGAAATTTCTTAGGAACAGTATCTTAGACTTCGAGGTTTATACACCCAGAATGTGTTATTAACTATAACACCTCTACACAAAAGTATTTTTCTCTTCCTTCTATTCTGAAATTATTTTATTTATTTTCAAAAGTCAATCCATCTGCGTAATAAAGATAATTTAAGTCATCTTCAGTTAGTGCATTATCTGAATGATTAAAAAGATAAATATTAAGTAAATTGGTATTTACCACAATATATTTTTAAAATTTCAATTAGTTACATCAATAATTATTATTTTTATATTGCACTAAACATTTAAAGAAAAATGAATGTAATAATCACAAGATTGGTCAATATGGATAAAAGAACAATTAGTTATGCCAACATTTCTAAATATTTAATTTCTTCATCAGGGCTAGAGCACTAAGACAAATCCACAATGCATGAGGACAATAAACAAATTTAAATAAATTAAATCATTAACACTACACAAATAAAAAAAGTTTATAAACTAAGACAAATGAAACGCCAAAATATAGAAATTACACACCTTACTAATACACATTAAGGTCCAGCCTCATTTCCAGCCACCACTCCCTACTCCACATGGAGTTGCTAAAAGATGTGGGTCAATCTCCCGAAAAGTCTGAATCGGGCCCGAACCCGAATATGAGTATATTAAGAAAATGACTTCAATTACTTCAAAACTCTTTGCAATAATAAAATGTTTGCTATGTGATGAACAACACAGCTGGATGCAAAATTTACTTATTGATGCGTACACACACACACACATCAATATTACCCCCAAACTGGAGTTTTTCGTAACACATAAAACTAGCAATTCTCTTTCAGCATGAAATGATTCTAGTGAAGGAATATCCAAATATCTCTTCACAATAATCATGATTTAGGAATGGGTCAGGAAAATTAAGTTTACATGTTGAGAAACTTTCTCTATTTTATGTATTATCAATCTAAAATGTGTCCATATTCAAGAAGAATTCAAGAAAAATTCAAGAATCTAGATTTAATGAGTATAAGAAATAGTATGTATTTTCCATGTCTATTGATTTGAATTTTGAACATGTTCAAAGAGAACATGTTCAAAAGCCTAATTTTCATAGAAAACCTGTAACAATATCATTTATTATTACTGAACTATATGATGAGTTTTGTTTATGTAATAAGTTGATTAGTGTTTATTATGAAGATTTAAACATCAGCTTAAATTAATTTATTAAAACTATCACGAGTAAAACACACAAGAACTTAAGTGTAATTGAAGTGTCTATTTGTAGGCCACTATATTGAGACTGTTGTGGTTTAATACTTTTTTGTTGTCCTTACAAGGTAATAAGTTTGGTATGCATGTTTTGGACTGCTTTTAATTTTAAAATAATGAAAACTTCTATTTATACTGCACTTAACATTTTTCTCATTGTGGGAAGCGCAAAATAGATGTTGAATGTTTACTTTTAAACTGAAAAAATGTTTACTTTTAAACTGAAAATAGATGTTGAATGTTTACTTTTAAAATGAAATTCCTGGCATGGAACCTCTAACTTCAGTAGCAATTGTACCTACTTTTTTTTGACATATCATTCAACTGATTCAAATCCTTTTGAAAGATATGAGAAACCTTTAAGATTGCAAATGTACATTTTATGCTGTTTTATGTAAACAACATAGAGAACCTGGAATCTTATATTGCTGGCATTTTCCCCCTTGATGTTGTTGGTTTTCACATTTGGGATTTCTGGGAACAATATAATTTAATAATATAGGTGTTTTATGCATGTCAAATTTCAGTGAAAAGCTAAGACACTCTGAGAAGAATTTAAATCATTTTGGAAATTTTCTGTAGAGCAGTAAGGGACTGTAAAATTATTTAAGTTTGTGTTGTAAATGAAGGCCAATTTAACAGTGAATAAGAGTTGAAATTGGAAAGTAACATTGAAGTACATGCTCACTGTCTCTCTGCTCGTCTGTCCGTCTCCCCTTTCTCTCCTCTCTCATTTTTTATTTTTTGTATGTAGCTTAATATTTTGCTTCTGTGAGCGATGTAAAAGTTTTTAAAAGTTAAGATTTTAGTTCTCCATTAAATACAATGTGAAAAATTCAATGCTTTCAATTCTTTCTGTGTTTTTATTGCTTTATTAGGTAGTGGGCACAGTATTGAACATCTTTTATGCTACGTTTGTTGTGTATGTGTCATCTGTATTTCTGAGTAATTGTTACTTGTTACTTTTTCTTTGGGGTGTTTTATCTAATTTTACCAAAATTAAAACACGAGCAGCAAGTGCAGAAATATTAATAATTTTGGTGGCTTTGTTTCAGGTGAAGGGTACAACCAAGTTCGTGTTGGCCAGCTATGTACACCTGTAGGTACAATACAGCTCTCTGTATCTTTTCGAACTAAAATGACAATATCACCTCAACACACTGGTAAAGACACCTCAATAATGTTGAAAAGCGATCACTTTCATCCCGATTTGAGTCCTCGTCACATGCGTTATCAGCAAAGGTGTGTAGAAATAAGTTGTAAATTCTAAAGTAATATTTTACAACATTTTTTTATGATTAAGCTGTGTGATTTTAGGAGGCAGTGTGTAATTCACACTAAAGGTTATAGATTTAATGAAAACTACTTTGTATTATTTATCTATGTAGTGTGAAATACTATGTATTAGTGTAAAATTCAGTTTAGAGTTTTGAAGAGGAGATAAAAAGAAAAATGTGAAGAAAAAAATTGTGGCTTCTTTTTTCTCTTGTTTTTTTTTAAATTGCTATCCCTAAATAATGATTTGGCAGTAATGACAATTCAAGATTGAAAGTTGAACTCTTCTTCACTTGTTATTGAATGAGGATTTGAATTTTTGCCATTTGTCTTAACGTTAATTATATAGTAGTTATTTTCCAATTTTATATGTCCATTTTTTATTTTTAATTAATTCATCTTTTTTAGATTATTATTGAAAGTTAGAAATTATATTTTTTTCACATATCCAGCTTATTTTGTCCATTTTATTGTTGTAATTTGTGTTTTATGCATTTTTTTTTTTCAAAAGTATAATGCAAAATTAATTCTTAACCATGGACTGGTATTTTAGTGAATTTGTGGATTTAAAGGAATGATAATTGACACTGCATTCAAATTTTTTATTTCAAGCTTGTGTTAGGTGTAGGAATATCTGCTATTTCATTTTTAGCTTTCGAAAACTTTCGAAGTTCATAACATTCATGTACAGAGCCAATAATGCTATACAACTTGAGATCTTTGACATACCGCTTCAGAACTCTAAACGGGAAATACAATAGGGTAGAAGAATTTTGACATACTCTATTTAAATAATTTACATAAATTAAAAAAAGTAAAGGTCCAAAGTGAGAGTCTGGTGAAACTTCAGAAGAAATATAAATATCCCTTGATATTTATTACTTATCAACATATATTATTTATATTTTAATAAATATTTTGATAAAAATATATAATGTTTATCAAAAACTAAGCCAAGAGATCAGAACAAGATCACTAAGAAAATAGTGTAGTGATAGTAGCTTTGGACATTCTATAAGAGTATTATTGTTCCCCTTTTGTTGCTTCAAAGATCGATCATGACCTTGTCAAATGAACAACCTTATCAGAAAAGAGAAAGGGAAAAAAATATGACAAGTAATATTTAATATACTTGATGTGTTTACTATATGCTGTTAGCATAGAAATGCATGCTGCAGTGAGATAATTTAAGTATTCTTATTTGATTACTGTGCATTTTGGTTTTTAATCACATGTTTGGAAATTTTATTTCTCTTAAAAATATGTATTGTGGTATGAAATAATAAGCAATACATAATTCCAACAACAACAGCATGAATTGTTGAACAAATGAACTGACAATTTTTCTTAATAATTGATTTTAAGTATCCTTGACATTATAGGAAAAAAAATAACAGGAAATAAAAGACACAATTGTAATAAAAGCATATATATTTTTTTCTTTGTAGAATTGTGGTACAATGTTTCACGATTTTTTGTGTCGCTTTAAAGCCTTCATTCCTGTTTTTATCTACAATTGTCTATATTACCAGGGATTCTTAAAATCAATAACTATTTAAACAGACAATTTATAAACTATCGTGTTAGAACTTTTCTTAATATTGAAAACCTCTATATGGAATTCTGAATTTTTTATTCAAGCATTTTAATTTTTTTAAACAGTGTCAGTAGGTATGCAATTGCTTCCAAAGTTTGGTGGCAACCAAGCAGATAGGTGTTGTATGAAAGTACACAACACTTTTATAGAACATACACACTTGTAAGCCAATATGAATGTTATGTGTTTTATTATTGTGCATCAAAAGATATAGATAATTCAAATAGTCGGTGATCTTAGTTATTTTTAAATATCCTTTTGCATTTTATTTGTCGTATATGAATGTTTTGTGTGGGCTGAAAAGTTGCAGACTTTTGATAGAAAGGACAAGAATTCCAAGCCAGTTCAGGGAGCTTAAGAACTGTTTTTACAGCAGTTGAAATTATTGTAGTTTACGCGTTCAATATTTCTGCATCAAAAATTGGGCTCAATTATATTTCATTGTCAAATTTCATATTAAATTATTTTTAATGTATCTTATGCTGATTATGAACTAAGAAAGTTCCTAAATTTTATGCATAAGTGTGAAGCATTAATCTTGTCAAAAATTTATTTTACACGATTCGTAAGTAGTTTGTCATTAAGTTGTTCGTTGATGTTGGAAAGTATATTTAGAGTGCAGATGATTTTTGATACATTGTGACAACCATTAATGCATACTTTGCATTAAAGCATTTTTTCATCACTCACTGTAATTTGTTATCTCAAGTTATTAGTGTTTTTCTGAATGTAAACAGCAAAATTTTTATCAGGGTGGCAAATTTCTGGAAAACGAGAAAAATTAGGATATTTCATTGCTGTAGAAAAGTTTGGGGGGATGGCGGCTCAGGGAATTTGTAGAAGAATCCTTAAAGTTGGAGAGGATGTTCAGATAGTAATAAAACTAGATGTTATTTCTTAAGAGTTGGTCCCAAAAATATGAGTAGTGACTCAATTTTTCTTTGTTCACAGTTTTTTAAAATTTGTACTTTATCACAATGAAATCAGAGGTGACAAATTAGTATCAGGCTTGCTTCACTATTTGTTTACAAATAGTGTGAAATACTGTACAAATCTTGGCAGTGAAAAGTATTAAGAAAATGCACTGGAAAACCAGGGAAAAGTCAGGAAACGAATGGCCACCCTGTACTGCAATTTTTTTGTCACTTGCCTTTTTGTTTCTCTGTAACTCTTAGCTGTGGATGAGTGATTTACAAATGAAATATTTTTTCCGATTTATTGCAGTGAAGAAAACAACACCTCTCTCACTGAAACAATTAAAATTGGTGCATTTGCAGACAATGTTAAACCATTGACCCAACCAGGAGAATCAGATCTTGTTATGCCCAACATCCCATTCAGTAGCCTACTGACCCCCCAACATCAATCTCCTCGCCAGCATACACCACCTCAGCAAGCACCGTCCCAACCAAGCAGTGCGGTTACAAACCCCGAGACTGGGAGTGGTGAAGAAGCAGAGGATGATGGCAATGGCAATGCAACTCCCCGTTGCGCTTCTGCTGCCGATTCTCGACGCTCCAGTTGTTCCATGGTGTCTGCAAATGAAGACTTCATTATGGTAGACTTGGTAATTATAGGATTACACATTAACCCAGTGTATGATGCACTCCAGATTTGCTTGATACTAAAATGTATTATATTTTGATCTTGAGCTAATAACAGGACTTTTGTATTTAAGGAAGGTGTCTGATGATTCTTGTGGTGTAGAAAAACACTAATTTTCATTTTAACAATGTTAAAAATTTCCACATACAGATGTGCATTATTTAGAAAAAATTTAAATTTACACATGTACATGAAATGCATTGAGAAAATGTTATCAGTACATGGCATTTTAATGTTTTTCTCTCAAATAGTGTCAGGAGTCTGGTTTAACCATTCATACTCCTTCCTGCTGCCTCTGGATTCATGTCTTTCTAACATGTCTGCATTTGTGGGTTTAACTTGTTTAATTAGTGAATATTGTTAATTGGGCAAAATAATTTTTTATTGTATTTTATTTCCTGAGGCAAAGCAAATATGCTTACTGTGATTCTTTTAATGTGTGTTGCTTGCAGCTTCTTTCTGGTCAGTTTAGTGAACCTCTTTGTGTCCAGTAGTATTAGTCAATTGTTCAGGGTTGTTCATCATTCTGTGTACCTATGCTATAATCCACAGATGCTTTCTTGAGCTCTGAAATCCCTACCCCTCTCTCTTTTACTATACTTGAATTAGAAGGTGAAACGAGAGTTTGTTGCCAACATTGAATAACAAGTAATCTTCTTTCCAGTGTAATAGAAACTATTTACATTGGCAAAGAAGCTATAATTTAATTTGTCAATATTGCCAATGAAATACCTTAATTCCTCACTTTTCTTGCACAAGTAAAATGTTGGGTCCAGAAAATGTGTGAAAAATATCTCAAAATAATTTCAGAAGTTTAGATTTAGATTTATACAGTCAAAAAAACAGTAAAATCTGTATGTGACGTAGGGGGGAAAAGATTATCTGGCATGTTTTCTTGAGTTCCAGAATCCCTTCCTATCATTTTAACTATAAATAGTTGAAAGATGAGTAAAAGTTTAACATAAATAAATAAAAATAAATTTTTAAATATTGTAAGATTAGCAATATTTGAAAAATAGTCTTTTTCATTAGAAGAGGAAAAATAAATAGAAACTAGTGGTGCTAAAACGGCACATATTTCTCACTCTTTGTATTAGTTATGGAATACTATTTATACCACAATTTCTCTGCAAATTAACACATTTGTCATCAGTTTTTGTAAAACTCATTACAAATCATAGAACATTATTAAATAGATTTTAAACCCTTTCTAAAAGATTAATTTGTAAACATATAACAAAAGCTTGAATGTAAGAAACAAATTTTTGTAATAGAACACCAAATTATGTAATAATATATAAATTGTAACTTGCGTAGCATCCAACTGCCTGTAATCACCATTCATTTTACGTTTGCGAATCGGAATACTATGTTTGACACCAGATTTCACAAAAAATACTCATTTTTTGAAAAAAACATGACCTTTAAAAGTCTGGTTTTGGTGAACAGGTTTGATTAAGAAATATTTATCTTCAGAGTTGTAGTTGGAGGAAGACACCGGAAAAAAAAATTGTTTTGGAATTTTTGAAAAATCAGTTTTAAATGAGACTTGCACCATTCTCTTAAAGTTCCTTACACTTTCCAACAAAAAAAAATTAATCAAAAATGACGAAGCCATTAAAATGAAAATGTCCCAGGGCCATCATGGCCCCAAAATTAAAATATGTTTCAAAATCAAGGGGCCATGACATTGGTCAGAGTGATTGGTGAATATGAATTTTGGAGAAAAATGGCTCAACGGTTTAGCCCTTAGTGTTGTTCACACACAGGCAGGCAGACACAGACTGACTGACTTGCTGTCATTCAATTTTTTAGTATCAAGGACCCACAAAACATGAATTCTGGCTACACCACATGTTAAGGAATTTCCCCCCCTAAATGCAGCAACTGTATTTATCCACTTTTTCATTACCAGGGCTTTGTAATAATAGTTTTTCTGGAAAAAAAAAAAAAAAAAAAAAAAAAAAAAAAAAAAAAAAAAAAAAAAAAAAAAAAAAAAAAAAAAAACTCGCATTATTTCATGCAGAAAATTTGTGTTAATTTCGAGTGCAAAACTTCCTCCCTACTGCCTAAGCGGTAACAAGTAAAAAGGAGAAAAGAAAAAAAAGTTTATGAAAGAACCCACAAATGTGAAGCGATTGTGTACATGCAAATTAACATAAAATTTTGGGTTATTATTTGCACGTTAATTGAAAAAATAGATATCCATTATAATTTTCAGGATATTTGATGTGTATGAATAGTTGATAAATTGGTGGTAAATTGGGATAAAATTACATATCCTAATTTGAGAACTTGCTCATAAAATTTCATATAAATTTATCCTAGTATTTACATTCTTTAAAAATTCTTTCTTTTACATATCTGAATCCATATCTCCTTGATTCAGAGTATGTTTGTTCATTAAAGTAAATGTAAAAAAGGTCAGTTCTACAATATGAGTACTGATATAATTCAGTGCTTCATGAAAATGTCTACATTCTTCCAGATTGTGATTCTTCTAAATTTGTCTAGAAATATTAAAGTTTCCCTATGTATTGATTTCAAACAAATTTATTTAATAATTGAGAACAAATGATACTGATACAAGAATTTATAAAAGTAATGATTGACAAAAATTTTCGGGCAATACAATTACAAGCAAGAACTTAGGAAATATCTGCAAGAGTTGAAGAAAGGTGATGTTTGGAATGTATAGTACCTCAAAAACACACCCAAATTGGTCGTCTCAAACCAAAACACACAATTGAAAGAAACTGAAATTCAAAGGTATAATAGAAGAAAGAGAACAGAGGAAATCGAAAAGTCATTTGTGAAGTTACAACAAATTGCTAAAATTGATCTGGAAGTACAAACAAGTAAGAAAATGATATTTCATGTAATGATGGTACAAACTAGAGGCTTATAGTTGCAAAAATGCTGCTAAACAAAATGTCACAAAATGTTTTTTCCAAAAATATCATGCATAATGCTCAAGAACAACAAATACAAAATTCTCAAAAAACATTTCAATAAATTAAATATTAAAAAAAAAAAAAAAACAGGATTCACAAATATTCCAATAACATAGTATAGTAGTTTATCTTAGTGTAACTAACACATTTTGTAAAATTATAAAAATTAATGCAAATTGAAATTTAAAAAAATTGGTAATTAATAATGTAATAAAATAGAAGAAATACTAAACACAAGGGGAGAACTTAGGATATTTGAATATAAGAATTAGCATAATCAAAAATTAAAAAGAAAAATGTTATAAGGAATGTATGTTTTGAGAGAAAACTCAGAAGAAAAAATGCATGTTGTGGCTGAGTTTGTGTGATTATTATGGCCTGGCATTTCTGTGCATTCAGCGTGAGGCCGTTTCCCGCACTTCAATTCGGTTTGCGGTACGCTGTACCCGTTTGATGACAGTTAATCCTGCCATCCTTCGCTGCGAATATGTCGCCAGCATATATAAAATCATTTAGTCATGCTATGGTAGGCGAATCGTTAATGAAGAGAAAAGAAGGCGAGAGAACGACGCCCTGGGGGACGCCGGTTGGGGCGAGATGAAGAGATGAACATTTGGTATCTTACGAAGAGCGATGTGAAGATAGCTTGTGATCAGGTTTAGTATGTTGGGGGGAAGTTTGTGAAAAAGCAATGGATGATGAATAATCTCAAATGCGAAAGAAGTCATTGAAGAGGGCAGGAAGAGAACAGTGGCGATTTACAGTTGATAAAGCGAAGAAAGCATAGCGAAGCGCCCGCATATCGGACGAGCGTTGTTTTCGAAAGCCGAATTGCGCCTCCCTGATTGTGCCCCTCTTCTCGAATTCCGTTGGATTCTCGTGAGAATGATTTTCTCAAAGAGTCGACCGAGAATTGGCAGTAGAGATATAGGCGCCTGAGTTGTAGGTGCTCGGGTTTATAACCGAGTGAGACAGTGTGGAAGGTTGAACCATGCTACCAATGAAGGGACCGACTGTCAACCAAGGGAGGGGTCAAATCGGACGGCAAGGAACGGACTGGAGTCGACGGCTTGGAGCGATCCGGTCAGGCAACCGCGTGTCCGTCTATAGTAATAGACTTCAAGCATCATGGAGGCGCAACCCCACTACGCTGTTGATGTTTTGGGGATGTCTGGCTATTTCCGTGGTTTATTTAATACGTCTAGGCCATCATCGGTCCTCCCAGCCGAGCACACTAATTTTTGAAAATGAAGTCATGTTCGATTTCCCATGCGTGCTTGGCAACAGCGGGACGTTGAACATTCATGTATTTGAAGTGGCGAATATGCTTGCGAAGCCTTTCTTCTACCGTTCTGCCTGTTTCGCGGAAGTACGTGCATCCCCAGCTGCATGACACGGCATATACTCTGTAGTGGCGGAAGCTGCTCCTTAACCCTTTTGAAGTTTTGCCGCGTTTTTGGTGGGCCCTGAGGACCGTCTTTACCAGATGATAACCACAATTGAGTATCTTTAGGTTTCAACAAGATCACCAAATTTTCTTTCCTCTTCTGCAGGCTCCTGGGTTGCGAAATTTTACATCTTTCTCAATACTCATGATTAGTTCTTGGGATTTTCAAAGCACCCTCTATTTTTTTCTTGTAGTTTGATATATTTTTGTATAATACTATAGGCTCTGACAAATTCTGTGACAAACGATATTGTCATACTCGTGTTGATCTCACATAAGACACACGAGCTTTCGCTTGCGCTTGTGTATTATCTAGGGCTTTTATTGGATTATCGTAGGTAATAACACAAGTGCTTTGAAAATTCTCAGTGAATCCTTGACTACTGAAGTGAGAAGAGGATTTATCTGGCAATTCCCAAGCAAGGTGGTACGTAAGGACTTTTCTATGAATGAAATTATGTCCATCAGAGTCCCAGAGTACTAGATATTGGAAATAACTGAAAGCTATGTTAAAATCAAAAAGATTATACATGAGTATAATCAAATATATATCAAAGAGTACATACATGGTTTATTGCACTTTGACACAGCAATCTATACACTTCTGAGATAGATAAGACACAGCATATTATTATCCAGTAGAGAGGACCGGTAAAAAAAATTAGAAAAAACTGATTAAGTTTTTGAGACACACTGCCCTGATAGGAACGTTTTATATGTATAGTTAGCCACTGTTTGTTTAATTTTAAGAGTGGAATAGTCCAAGTCACACAAGAGGTTAGACACAATGGAGGAACTGGGAACAAAGCCATGTTGTTGTTCAGGAAGGATATTATTTTCAATAGCTTTTTGTATATTCTTAGCACTATGCTCCATTACTTTATCCTCTTCCCTTGAAAAACTTTTTGGTTGATAGTTTCTGGGATTGTGGTGATACCCCTTAGGCCTCTCTCTTTTAGTTTATTGCCAAGTTCAATGTGTGTGAACCAGTTGCCTCCTGTAATACACCTGCTACGATGATATATAGGCTGAGATAGTCGTAGAACTGATTGTGTAGGAACTGACATTTTATATCTTCATTGGTCAGGTTGTCACTAGCAGAATTCTTTCTGCAGTAAATGTAAGCATTTATTAGAGAACCAGTTCTGACATCAACAAGGCACATCACTTTTATACCGTATTTCATTGGCTTGCCTAGTATATAAATTTTGGAGGGTTGTAGACCATGAAAACCCGCCAACATCTCATCAACAGTTGTGTATTCTCCAATAGAAGAGAGTTGTTGTGAATTTTGTATGAACATGAGACAGTTCTGTAGTATCAGCGGTGCAATCTGATTTTTTTCCTTCTTGATCCCCAGGATAATCAAATCTCAAACTAAGTAGAAATGCAAATTGTACCTTTGTCAAAGTACAGCGAAAGATTTCATGACTGGTACCATCTGTTGCAAACAGTAAATATATATCATCATTTTATGTGAACACTGATGAGTAAAGCAACAATCTAATAAAAGCTTGCATTTCCATCCTATTTGTGTCCAGATGTACGCATCTATTTTTCTTGTCATAATTACATCTCAATTTTTTAAATCTTTTCATTTGTCTATTTCACTACCAGGTCCACCATTTCGCTAGTGTATACTATGTTACAAATATCGATAAGAAGTAGTTGGTTTCCTACAACTGAGGCTGCATGTCATAGAATTATAATGATGACGATGAGGCTTGTCTGATTCATTTAAACTTCCATCTTCTTCAATGTTATGTCCTTTCCCATCGCTAAAACTTTGTTTGTAATCAGTGCTGTGTTCTAATTCTGATGCATAATCTGGATCCAAATCAGAGTCATTGATATTGGAATAATCTCTGTGTTAGTGTTACTTTACAAACACAACTATTGTAATCATGCCAACTGAACATATTGTTATTGTGTTGTTGTCATGTGAAGAAGTAATATATTAAAGTATTAAAAAGAAAGTTGTCATTGCCAATAAATGGATACCCTGAATATTTTTGCTATCAATGGTGATGGAATTTTGCTTAAACTATCTTTTAATTATTATTATTTTAAATTTTGATATTGGCAGTGAACTTAGTCTTTTTCACATGAAACTTTCATGACAAGGAAAAAAATGTGCATGAAGTGCTCTGTTGAAATTGTGAAAGTTGAATGCCAAATAACTGGATTTGCATGCATTTTTCCACTTTTGTATGTATGTATGTAATTTGTGTGGGTAGTGTTTTTTGTTTGTTTGTTGTGAAGGAGAATTCAATATTTTTCATGACTTTCTTTACTATATTCTATATTAATTTTAAATCAATGACCATTACTTAATTTAAAAAAAATACATTTAATTAATTTTTATTCAGTTTACTGGTTTCAGGAAATTTGTCAGAGTGAGTGAGTGTGAGTGAGTGAGTGTGAGTGAGTGTGAGCGCGAGTGAGTGAGTGTGAGCGCGAGTGAGTGAGTGAGTGTGAGCGCGAGTGAGTGAGTGAGTGTGAGCGCGAGTGAGTGAGTGAGTGCGAGCGCGAGTGAGTGAGTGCGAGCGCGAGTGAGTGAGTGAGTGCGAGCGCAAGTGAGTGAGTGAGTGCGAGCGCAAGTGAGTGAGAGTGGGCTTCCATTTCGTTCCCTTCCCGCCTCATTTCCCATCTGTAGATTGTGTCAGATTATTTACTGCGTATTGTATTTTTCCTTTAGAAAAAATAAAGTACTTTTTTGTTACTTTATTGATTTATTTAAATTTTTACTCATACATTATTTTTCACTGGTAGTTATTGAATGATATGTGTAATAAATATATGGTTTTTGGTTTCAGAAAACTCCGTTTGCTGGAAATAATGCAAACAGTGATTTAGGGGCTTTCTACAGAGATTGTCAAAGTGCTCCGCAATTGAAGACTTTTTCTGAACAGCCTACTCTTGCAGAGCAGGTGGAAGACATTACAAAAACTCTGGAAGCATTTGAAAGTAATATGAGAGAATATGATGATATGTTAAACTCATTATGCTTGAATGAAAACAACAACTAAAGTTTCTCAAAGTGAACATGTGAGAAAAACTGAAATCAGATACATAAATTGTTATGAAACAAACTTGTAATGTCCTGATTTGTATTATTACAGATTTGTCTTATGAAAGACTGAACACATTGCTGACTATGGTATGAAATCTAGAATACGAATCTAGAAAGGTTCATGGCAGTTAATTGTTTTTTTAGAAATAGAAAAACCCAGAACTGCCTTAATGGACAAAGAGAAAAATCTTTCTGCTTACTGTACAATTGATCACTGGCACATGAATGAGTGAAGATATAATTTTCAACTCTAGATAAAACACTCTTCTAGTGATGGATTATTAGATCTTTTTTAATAATAACATCAGTGATAATGTATTCTTCAGCACATATATTTGGGGTATGAAGTGTTTGGTCATTACTTTTCTTCAAAAATATTTTCATTTTTGGTTTACACTCCAGTCTTGTGAAGATCCCTTGTGTAATGCCATTTAATGACTTTGCAAACTCCCCATCTCTTGAAATCAAGTGTCAAGGCAGAAATTAATAATTGATTTATTGGCAGTTTAATTTTATCCCACTTGTCGTTTTATATACATATTATCACATATAAATATGTATACCAAAGATTTAAACCTATCATTTAATGATACAACATGAGAGGTAGTGCATGTTGTTCCGTTTATTCATAATGTGCATCTCTGTATGGGCTGTTAAAGAGAAATTTTAAATCTGGATTCGCTTGTGAAAAAAGAAGAAAAAAATTAATATAATATGTGGGTTATTTGGGTGGAGGGAAAATTGTCTTTGCTAAACTACGAAACGATGTGTATATGAAGTTAGAATTTGTTGCTACAAGTGCAAATCTTTAAATTTTGAAACATTGACTAATTCTGTTTTTAATGTATAACGAGCGCTCTCTAAGTAATTTGGTGACCAAATTGGCCAAATCTTGGTATACATTTTCCAAAATTAGTGTTTGTGACTGAGATATTCTTAGAACAGATGCACTCTAAGCCATGAATTCGAAATTCAGTCCTAATATTTCGATCATCATGCTATATACTGATTGATTGATCATCATGCTGATACATGTTTACTTGCTGTGCCTTGAATTCAGTCAATCAAAATGACTTTTAATAAAATATATTTTTTTTAAAAAGATTTTATAAATTGTTTTAAACTGACTAGAGGTAAACAAAAGTTTGTTGCAATTGATTCTTTTAATTTAAATTTACCTTGCCATGTGGACAGCTTATAGTCCAGTACTGGTAAATTGACTTTTATTGCTCTTATTTCAGTTACTGTTTTTTATTGGTTATTGATTCATTAATTGAAAAAATGCATATGAAACGGCAATTGTACAAGTGAACTTCATAAGGCACATGGATGTTTTTGGAATATAAAGCATAAATTCAAAATATGAAATATCTTATACAATTACTTAGTTCTCAAATTGTCATTTATAGGTTTAGAAAGTTAGGTTTTTGAAGATAAATAACCACCTATTAAATATTGCTTATAATTTACAATAATGTGTTATCAGCGTAGATCAGCAAAATAGGAATTTGAATGTGATGACATCCAAAATTTTTTTGATCGATAAATATTCATGGAATTGCAAAGAAATAAATGTGATAAATTATATTTGAGTCTATGCAAACCTTTGAAGAATATTATAGTGAACAGAAAAAATTACTAAAGCAGCATGTTTGCAATATTGCAAAGTCAAGAATTACTTCTTGCTAGCTTTTTTACTCATATGATGATTTCTTGTGAATGATGATTTACTTACATAATCCAATAAAATGCAGAAATTGTCACAAAGGCAGTGTCGTTTGTCACAAAGGTGGTGTTCACTGCATCTCAACAGAGGAATACAGAGGTTGGGTACTTTACTGCAGGATTCACAAACTAAAAATACAGTTAAAAATCCAATTGGTACTGCTCATATTTTTAACTAAAAGTGGAAGTTTGCAAACATCGAAAATTCTTTTCCTTTGAAAGTATATAGAACTCCAGGGTCATGCATAATTTATTTATACAAAAACAACAAGAGAGAACTAGTAATTTGTTCTTGTTATTTAAAGAAATTGTTTAATTGTATAAAGTTAAGTGCTGAAAACTTACTGTTAGAACTCACTCATTTATTAACTTGAAATTATGAAACTTCTGGTTCCTTGATATAGCAATGGATTTGGAAAGGTACTAAAGTTAAGTTTCATTATGGATGTATATGGATATTAACATGTTTTGCTTTTATGAGATAATGAACTCCTGATGAAAGACATGACAAGATCTATGTTGTTGGAGGTTAAAGATCGTCATAGTCATTTTTTATAATGTAAAAGAGACTGCCACCTAAATGTTCCTGAGCTAAATGGAAGAATGAATTACCATTTAAAGTGAGCAATTTGTGTGTAAATGCAGTTAAAGTAGTAATTTTAATTTCTTTTTGAGAGCAATTTTTAAAAAGTTTAGTTTGTACCTGATAAATTTATGAAATTTCTTCTAAATAATACACTGAAAATACATTGTGAATTTTGGAAAACCTGGCCATTACAACTATTTATATAAATGTCTGATCTCGGTGAATTTAGAAAATTAATTAGTTCCACTAATGTATAAATGAGATCAGAGTGTTTCTGTTGTTTTTTTTAACAGAGATGACTGTTTAATATTAAACTGTAAAACACTCCAATTTCTTTGTATTGTGTCTGGAGATAAGAATTCTTATGAAATATCAAGGCGCATGTGTTCGGTGCTAAGCTTTTTAAAGAGTCTTTGAAAAGAAATTCAGTTGTTTTTAACTTGTATGCCAGAAGACTAATTATTCAGTGTTTTTAATAAAGAATGGTGATCTTAGCAATTATTGTGTATGCTTGGTTTATGACTTGCAGTTTGAGTATTGATAAATACACATTCTCTTACAGTAGAATTTGTGTGCTAAGGAATTTTGTTGTTAATGACTTAATGCAGCATATTTTAAGATTATCTATCCTTAATCAGTGAAAATAGTGAAGTTGAATCACCACAGCTAAAATTTTGTTTAAAAATGCATTTTAATACTTTATTCGTGGATGTTTTTAATAGTATTATTACAGAAATCCCTCCAAGGATATAAAAAATCAAGAACTAGGAAGAAAATTAATAAATGAAGCTGCATAAAGACTAATACTTTTGAATTAATTTAAGTTTATATTTAATTGCTGTCTGAAGAGATTTTCTTCAATGAATGTAAATTTGGAATCGGTTTGTTTTAATTCTACGAAAAACGTGTTTTGTGGAAGTCCTAATGGAAAACTGTGATGGTAGTGGTTACCTTCTTATAAGGTAAGGATAGAATTGTTGCCAAGTTGTCAGATACCCATTTTGTAGTCATTAATTTTGTTTTGTAAAACGGTTCATTTCTGTGCAAATGCTGTTATTTACCAAGATAGATGGTGATATTACCTAATTAAACCAACGATTAGAATAACCTATTCACAGTCATTCCAATTATGAAAGAATGTTTTTTGTATGAAGGTTAAAAAAATAAAGTTACAGAACTTACGTCTATGCGACTTTAATATTCTCTTTTTGTAAAATTAAGTGAAGATGTCATAGTGCTTTTTGCTGCTAGCGATTTCTGGCAAATTTGTAAATAATTGCGAGTTTAAGATTTTTTTCATATTCTACTTCTTTTTACGTTATGTTGGTCCTTACTAGTGTATCATTTTGGGGAAAAAACAAGAGAAAACGAGGAATACTAGGCTGACTCATTGATTGAAAGGATGGTCCATTTGTTTTCTTTAAAACAAGCTGTGATAGCTCACCAACATTTCAAAAATTAAAAAGTAATTATTAGGGAACAATCTAAGTGAAGTTATAGAGCTGCTGTGGTTATATTATTTAAATAGTTGACTGCATTTTAGAACTAATCTCTCATCAATAACTTTCATTAACTTCTTTATCTACAATTCGTGTTCTATATGAAATTAATTGTTTTACTTCATGGGTTTTGGGGAGGGTGATCAGCCAGACATTCCGTGGGCAATAACGGGAACAGGAGAGAGGAAGGAAGAAGTGGGCCCAGTTGTGGCAATTTGTTCTTAAAACCTGAAATTGTTAACAAAAAAAACTTCCCCATCACAAATTCTCTTAGCAGCTGTTCATTATTTTCTTCCAGGCAGGAACTTCTTCACACCAGTCATTTTAGGAGGTCCACCTCTGTTGAAACTAACCTATGCTCTTCTTGGGTACAAAAAAATATTTTAAATGTTGTGAGCACTTGCTTCAATATAGCCAATTTATTTTCTTGAAATAAGATATTGTTTCTTGTCTCCCTTCCCAGTTTGTTTATTGGTACTCATAAATAAATCTGTTCTTGGTTTTCAAAAAATACTGTATTCATTGTGTTGCTGTTGGCAATTAGAATAGTTCACATTTATTTTTAGAGTGTTATTGAAAATTTCTTCTTAATATTATATTTAGACATTATAACTTTTTTTTTAAGTTTTGAGAATATCTTACTCAGCAAAAGTCAAGGAAATCATTAAGACCTGTGTGTTAATGAAAGATAATAAAGGTTCACATGATCCTATGATTATTAAAATAGTTAATATTTATTGAGAATTATTTTCCTTTTACTGTTGCTTTGCAGATTTTGTTTCTTCTTTAAAACATGCTCAGGAGTCTATATAAAAGTAGATCTAACCCATCTTAATCTAAATCAATGAGGAATTATTATTATTATTATTATTATTATTATTATTATTATTATTATTATTATAATTACGTGAAGGATTCAAAATATAATAGACACCTGTATAAAAATGTTATGAATTGATATGAAAAAAGAGGGAAAACTATAATGGTGTGAGATTAGTTGAAATTTAGAATTTTTGTGTGGAACATTTATGACGTTTCAGCATCGAAATGAGTGTGAAGTTTATGTGAGAAAATTAACCAAAACACAGAAGGAGGCAACTTTTAGAAATTGAATATAATTATAAAATATTGGTTCACTGACAGTGATAAGTTTGCTATTAATAGGAATGATACAGTTATAATTGTATGCACATTATTCCATCATTTCATTTAAAATGTATATTTAATACATAAGGTATTGCTTAATTTTTGTAGGCCTATCAAAGATGTTTTATTTTACGTCTATCAGTTTTTAAGGGCAGACTATATATTTGTGTAGTTGTTTCAAATTTTGCCATTTGATTGATTTTACTTTTCTTGTAATCATTGACTCTTGTCATCTTTCTTTAGCAAATTTAGGCTGAATTTTGATGGGGAGCTACCTTAGAATGAAACCTTTTTCTTGATGTCTATTCAGTTTCTACTCCAATATCTACTTTTTTTATTGTCTCTATGGACATTTATGTATTCATGAAGCATCTAATTTTTATTTGCCGTATGTGATATTTATTATGTTTTTAATGATTTTGAAAAAAGTATTAGGTTCCCATCAATCTTACCTCTGAGAATTTCCATAATACAGGGTCTTTAGCTTGGCTTGCACCCATCTCTGAGAGCACTTGTTCTTGTTTTGGCAATTTGGCAACCGCATGTCTTTGACAGCCATGCCTGACTCATCAAAACAGCACAGTTGGAGGCAACCGTCAGGTCATAAGCTGCAGCAACTTTCCTGTTTCTGTGTTATTCTCATTCAAGAGCTTAGGTGGGCAGATACGCTGCTCACACACTGGAAGCGGCTGCGCGCTTTCGCGCTGTGCCGGGTGGGGTGGGCTGAGCATGAGCAAGGAAACAAAAAGGTCTCTTTAGGCGATTTGTTTCAGTATACTTAAGGAACAAAACTGTAAAACTGAAGATGTGAAGGGAAGTTATGACTGTTTATTGATTTATTAATACCAACTTGACAATAATTATTATTTAATGAAAGCAGGCTCAAAGAGAAATTGGAAAGATATCGCATGAAACATTACCGCCAAGCTCTTCATTATTTATAACAATAATAATGTATTATTTTTATGGAATCTGATTATTAAACAAATAAGAAAGTCTTATTAAAATTAGTAAACATTCCAATAAAACATATAGTAAATTAATAATTATTGAAAATAATTAATAAAATATAATTTCCTTAAAAGGTCAAAAAACTGACCTTTGGGTAAATCTTAAAGTGATCACCATTTGCCTTTGCCAAGAGACAGCTATTTACCAGACGTGGATTCACAGGGAGGGAAATCTCCCCTCCCTCCTAAATTTTTTCAGTAACTATTAATTTTAACTAGTCACGAAACTTTCTAGCAAAGATATTTTCTGATAATCATTAAAACAAATTAAATGGTATCACAGGAGCTGAGAGTAGCATGTGACTTTTACAAAATCTGTAATATGATGCTTTCATCTAAAACATTTTGAATTTCGCCTCCCAAAATTTGTCTCTGGATTCGCCCATGTGCTTACTCTTTTCAGTGTAGTAGCTACAGTATGTTGAAGACTAACAAGGACAGAATAAGTGCTTTCTCTTTCTTCCAACTAAAATTAGCCACATTCTCTCACTCTGAAATATGAAGGCATGCAGCCATGGGTCACTAAAAGTGAAAGGGACGGCAAAGGTATTTCATGCATCGCCAAATTGCAAAACAATAGGTGGTATTTCCAGATATGGTTTGTGAATTAAGCTAAAGGCCTTGTGCATAATAATTTATTCTTTATATAAAAAAGCGTACTATATCCACTTTCCAACAAAATACATTTCACAATACTGAAGTGAAAAGCTATATGTTTTTTAGACAGGCTGAAGTGACACCATTCATTATCATTGAATAGCTGAATAAAGAGATCACTTTGAGTTCTCATCATTAAAATAACAACCATATTTGTAGTACTCCAGTACTATCGCCATTTTTGAATTTTGAAGTACTGTAATGTTTTCTTAATATATACACATTACAATTTATAATGCTTTCCATTGAGTCCATGAATTTCCATGAACAGTTTTATTTTTAAAACATTGATGTATTGGTATTCTTTGTTAAAAACAAGAAAGGTATTCGAAGGAAGAATGATGGGTTAACTATTGCATAAGAAGGAGAAACATTAATTTGTGTATATTTGTAAACATTAATGCAAAAAATTCATTGAATGATGGAGATAAATTAATTAATTACAGGACAAAATTTTATTAATCAAGATTTCGTTATTCTTTTAGGTGTTGAGTGAGCAAATGATTGAAGGTTTACCGTGATAGATGTGATTAGCAACTGAGACAGAAGCTATAACTTAGTTGTTTACACTTATTGCAAATTATTGAATGATGTACTTTGTCAAGCAGAATTGTAATGTAAGAAGCAATATTGCAAATAATATTGTATAGTTTCATATATACACTACAAAAATAATATACAATATAACAAATATGTTTATTATTTAACAAACATCTATGATAGCCACCCCAAAATGATCTGCTGGATCCACCCCTGCCAAAGGAAATGACTGTTACTCGGCCCTGGATCTTGAGTGTTATTTTTATAAAAAATTATTAGGTTTTTCCATTTTTCTCTTTTTTGGTATTTGTAAAGTGCATGTTTATATTTAGTTGTATTATTTGATGGTAATTGTGATAAGCTGTTAGCAATTGTATTTCTTTCATTTTTGTTCCACGAAGATTTTATTCTTGTTTAATAGCATGTGAATCCTTTCAAGCAGTGTGTGCTGATATGTTTGCTAGTGATCTTTGGTGCAAATTAAAAATTATAGAGTACAGTTATAAAATATATTTTGCAGAAAACTTACTTTTTACTCTTTGCCATTTAATAGATAATGTTATTTAATGCAAGTGATCGTTTGTTTCTTTCTTGTATGTTAACATTTAAGTAAATTTCTACTTGCAATATCTTGTGCAAGGATTTTTTTCTCTACTTAATCTGCACATGTATTGGCTGTTAAAAGACTAGAACACAATGCAGAAAAATCCTACAGTTTTGGAGTTTGTGAAAGAGACTATTGATTTTCAGTGTTTTGTCTGAAATGTTCTTATCTCCTTGTAATAATTCTCAACTACTGATTTCAATGTTAAAATTTAAATTATGTGGCTCTGACACTATGTTAAATGATTGTGAGAGTTTATTTTTGATAAAATGTGTGATGTTTTCCAATATTGAATCTTCAGTGAGTCACTACTTATGGAATTTCCATTTCTTTCATTTTATGATGTATTGTTTCTATGCCACTGGAGAATGTATGCGATTGTACACGTTGTGTATTTAATAAGACTGATTAGTGTACTTGTGAACAAGTGAATGTTTGTAAATGTGGCTTAATTGTTGTAAAAGGGTGGCACTGAGTATATTTTATTTACTTTTCACCCAAAAAAGATTATTTATAAAACTACTTTTAATTGTAATCTGTCTTCAGAAGTTCTTTCTCTTTTCAATAATTTGTTTTTAAAGCCTATTAGTGTACATTCTTCACCATTGTGTTTAAGTGAAAAATATTGATAAAATGTTAATCATGTCCATGTGAAAAGTACGTAGTGATGTATAGTTTTATTCATGTTCATTTTTAAGTATTCAAGTAAGAAAGTAGTGTAGTTATTTGTGATGTTCAAATTTGACATAATTTTTATACACATTTCTAAGTTCTTTCAATTATTAATTGATTTTTAAGTTACAACATTTGAAGACTGTTAGAAAATTTCAATTAATGAAGGTTAATTTTTATTGACGGAATATTATGTTTTTTTGTTTGTTTTTTTTCATTACTACCGCATTTTTGTTGTCGATAAATCAACCAGTTTAAACTCTGGAAGCTCTGTACTCTGCATTGCAAATTACTATTATGTGATTTATAAATAATAGTTTCTTTAAAGATAATGTGATATTTAAGGTCTTGTAATTTTACTTGTGTTACCATACACAAAAGTAAATTCTGTACTTGTGACTGGTAATAAAATGAAACCCTTCTAAATTGGGCTTTGGTTCCTGGAAAATGTTTCCAGTTCAAAAAGGTGTAAAAGTACTCAGTTATTTAAAGTATATATGTGGCTCTTGAACAAGGTGTTCTATTGGGGAGTGACCAAACTGAGGGGTTTCACTGTACACAAGTTGTTTTATTCCATTGTGAAAATGGAAAGTGAACATGCTGCAGTGCATGCATGCTGATGCTTTATACAATTTATTATTCTGTACCTTATGTCGGGAGCTCAATATAATAATAATAATTGGTTGATGATCATTCATTAATTAATATTTCAAAATTTGGGTGCCGTTGTCATTTGCGTAAAGATGCCTTAATGTTGTGTTTTTAGATCATATAAAGGTCTAGTTTCATTGAGCAAATTGCCCTGCCAGGTGGAAAGATAAATTTGCTTGCCTGCAGAAATCTACTAATTACAAGTTCTTGATTGTTTCTATGTGTGTTTATTGTACATTTTTATTAAATACATTTTCCAAAAATATGTGAAAATACTATGTTGGTCTCTCTTACTTGTATACATTCCATTTCCTGAGACCTTAACATCAATCAACGATACAACAAACTTCATTATTTGCCTTTCAATGAACTATCAAAAGTTAGTAAATTGTCTACCTTTTTACTCAGAAAGAAAGGAGGGAGGGTGTTCTAAGGAAAGAGTGAATCAACTTCATGTCCTGAAAGTTTGTTGTATTTAATATTTTATTTATGGCAAATACTCTTGCTTTCAAAATTGGCTTTGAAATTAGGCACCCAAGGTTTGAAAAAACTGTTGAATATTATCAAACTTATTTTTAGTGCATTCTTATGATGAAAATATAAAACTCGATGTCATATTGGAGATCACCATATGTAGAAATTAAAAATTTCTTAGGTACTGGGATGTTGTAGGACACTTTCAATGTGATTTTTCTTTCTCTTCTATGTAAGCTGCATGTTTTTGTGCAGTTAAATTGAAGATACACATATATTTATTTGTGAACATTTTTGGTATTAGAATATCCTATTGTTATTTTTAATGTAGGCAATTTGCAATTGTGCTGCAATCTAATTTTTGAAAAGTAGGTTAGAATTTGTTAACAACACATACACGGATAGTTGTTATGAATACTTTCATATATTTCTGACTATTGTACCTTGGCCGCATTAATGCTGGGCATTACATGCTGTGAACTGATCAATTAAAAGCCCTTTATCAGTTTATTGAAAGTTCTAGATGTTAAAATCATGCATCATGTAAAAAGAAGCTGATTGTAAAGAAAACAATGTTTTACAAGTTTAGTAAGTAGAGGCTCGTATCAGTGTTATGTGCTGCTTGTAGGTGAATGTGGATGATAACTACTTGCCTTATCCTAAAAATTAAACAATTGTTTCGTGGATTTATAATTATGACTCTAAAGTTTGCAAACAATATTTCATATAATGTAAAATTCTTTTCATAAAGTGTGAGAATGAAAATATCTTGCCTTCTTGAATAGCTGGGGAACAAATGGACTGCATGGTGCTTATTTTAGTGCAGTTTTAAAATACCATATAATTTTCACTGAACTGATGTCCATCAGACTGTTGCATGTTTATTGTATAAGGTGCCATCATTTTGTGTATTGTTTTCCTATGATGTATTGTTTTAATCAGCCTCCTGAAGTATATGATTTGAATAATAAATTTAAGGTGAAATAAACTGTAATTTTTGACTCCTAAAACAATTCATTCCCATTAAATTGGAAATGATTTGGCTCCAATTTGTAAACTGCTCTGAGAAAAAGTAACTGGTAAGTATTTTAAAACCATTTTCATGGGATAGCAGAAGTGAAAATTGAAACTAGTGCTGCAACAGCACATACAACAGCAACAGCTTCTGACCGGGAAGTCCCAGGGCTCGGGTCCTGACAGTAACAGGATTTTTGATAATAGTTAGGTTGAGTTCAACCGCTGTCTGAAGGAGAATTCTAGTGGCGTGTGTTAGATCAACACCAGGTGAATACCGGAGCAGTACCCTGACAAAACGAATCATACACAATCTTTCCTCTCTTCCTTGTCCTATCCTCACCCTC